TTATTACAGATTGATAAATAGTGCTCCTATTTCGCAATAAGAACGAATTATTTATCAAAAAGTAATCAAGAACTATCACCTAGAGGGTATCCTGCAACACACTTAGGCTCAAACTGTAAGAGAAAATTCCAATTAGTAGAGAAATTAATTTGAAAAATGAAAAAAATAAAAAAAAAAGAAACTAAATGAACCTAAAAAGAGTATGTTAATAAATTGTGTAACAATAGTAGGATAATACAGTATATGAAAATTCGCTCTGATAATTCGTCTGTGCGAAAACCTACTCATACTAACCGATATTTGAATTTCGACTCAAATTACCCGATAATGGTTAAAAAAGGTATCGTAAAAAGTCTATATGATAAGGCATAAATAATTTGTAATCAATCTAATTTTTCCAAAGAAAAACAATTTATAAAAGAAATTCTAAATTTCAATAATTATCCAAATTCTTTTATTGAAAAATGTTTTAACGAAATTGAATTCCCACGAACAAAACAAAATCAAAATAAACCTATTACGAACCTTTTCATTCCATTTATTCCAGGACTTTCAGATCAAATTAAACGAGTAGGTAAAAAATTTAATATTAGGACTATCTTCAAAACTGAAAATACAATTAGAAGTAAAATTTCAGTAACAAAACCTCATGATATAAACGAAAATACATAAAATGTAATTTATAAAATTCCTTGCGGATGCAATAAATTTTATATAGGAGAAACCTCAACACCATTACACAAAAGACTCAAAGAACACCAATCATACATAAAAACAGAGAATATCATAAATCACACAAATTCAATGGAATAATTCCACATTTTTAACAAAAGAACAATCCACAAAAAACGCGAAATAAAAAAAAGCGCACTAATTTTACTAAATCAAAATAATTGTGTTGCTTCATGTTCATTTCTTGATTACTTTTTGATAAATAATTCGTTTTTATTGCGAAATAGGAGCACTATTTATCAATCTGTAATAAAAGACGTGAGGAAATTCTATCTTTTTGAAAGATAAAAAATTTTGAGGCGAAATACCCAAAAAGAAGTTTGTCAAAAAAAAAACAAAATTGTGCCTAAGATCCACTACAATAAAGTTTTTGAAAAACTGTTGGACCTATTTTAAATCGCCTGATTGACACTCTCGATTCGGTAAAATATTCCTACCTACTTGTTTAGTGATTTTCATCGGAAACAATTGTTAAACCAGATGTTGAGCGGATATTTTCTAAAGAAGGCAGGGTCAATTTATGAAAAACGCTCAAGATTAAGTGCAAATAAAGTGTCACAACCATTATTAATAACTTTTAATGCAATAATATGTTCTATTATTTGTTATTTTATTTTGTAACCACAAATTATCAATATTTAAATACATATTTTGTAATCTTTCATATTTAACATAAAATGATAAACCTCATTACCGTGTTGTAATAATATATAATAAATATGTTTGGAATTTAATTGAAGAAATATTTGAGTTTACCTCGGTTATTTCAGAAAAACATGGGTTCCGTCTTCTTATTTTCTATCCTGCAACGCATTCTTGATGTTAAGACGATACGAATCTCTCTTCAGCTTATAGTTAGAAAATATGTCAAACGAATTTATAAGGGCTGATTTTCAATTCTCTATACTATTTCTATGATTAATTGTGTTTACCACGCATCAAAATGAATTTTTTCCCTTCATATGCCCTTTGATTCCTTTATGATCAAATATTCTCAATTTAGTTCAATTTTTTAGCGTTGGTTAGTTCAGTTAGAGTTTTTGTTTTTGAACATACGCGCGATGGCTTACATTATGTATACATATAGTGTGTCAAGTGTATCCTGCCTCTATAGCTTTTCCTCGTTTTACCGTCTATTGCTAAAAAAGAGCATTAAGTAATAGATCAACTCAAAGTAGCTTTCATCAACTGAACCTCAAAGATTATACGAAGCAAATAAGAAATCACAACGAAAAAAYAGAGAAACTCAAGAAGAAGAGTTTACACAAACCCAAGAGGAGCAATATGTACAACGTCTCGTTAAAGAATGTTAAATGTTGCCAATAAAAAAGATATTTTACATTCAAAAGGAAATTAAATTAAATTTYACCTACTCCTGATCCATTTATAAATTATTAGACTACCAAGAATACTAAATTTTTAAAATAAAATAATCATTGCCATCATGCGGTAAACAAATTCAATATTTTATAGTTTCTATACATATATGAAGTTATCACTCATGTCGAGCGTCCCGTGACGCACMCCACTTTTTTCTGTAMTKATTTTCGGGATTTTGGCGTGAGATTGGCAACTATTGCAAGAAAAAACCGACCATAAAATATACTTCCCGATGGATTTGTGCCCTTTCCTTGACTTGTCGTGGTCTTCTAGATGGAGAAGGAGTATTCAACCCATCCAGCATCCACATCGTCGAACAGACCAGCAGTCGGGTGCATTTCTATTGGCTGCAAGAAAACATTGAGAACGTTTTCACCATCGAGCTTCACTACGTGATGGAGGAGGATATCAGCGGCATCTACTCCTACGCCAAGTACACCAACGACAAAAGCTACGCAGTCACCTTGGGGGAGACCAGAATGGTAATGACCACAGCCAATGAAGGGCCCGCATAGATCATAAAAAATTTCCAGGTGTATCGCTTCCAAGCTTCCATCCTCACCCAAGGCACCAACCAGGTGCGCTCTGGCACTACCCCCACTACTGTAGACTTGAACCAATGCACTACCGTCCAGGACTCCACCTGGCAATTCCCCAACGGCACTTATTACAGCAAATACGACTACGCAGCGTACATCAGGCAGATCAACTACCAGGGGGTTTACGGCAATGGATTTGGAGCCTTCGTGGTCTCACCCAGCAGGGAATACCATGGTAAGCGTCCCCGAAAAGCGCGAATGCCTCAAACCTTGCGAATCCTCCATCAGGTGGTGGACCATTGAAGCAAGACTTGACTGTCCACCAAGAGTGTCTGGTGGCCAACTATTTCCTCAGCGGCCACTTCGGGACTCCCGGCCTGAGCGCCAGTCCGGGCTGGACTCACATCTATGGCCCCTTCCTGCTTTACTTCCCGACTGGAGACGACGGAAGCATCATTTCAGCTGTGCAAAACCAGGTGGCATCTGAGCAAAGCAAATGGCCCTATTCCTTTGTGAACGACGCCGAATATCCCACCTCCAGGTAGGTAGGCGGAGCCGAATGTTGCTTTATAGGTGATTTGGGACTTTGCAGGGGCAAAGTCAGTGGAAACGTTTCCGGGCAGAAGAGCGCAACAGTGGTGCTGTGGGACTCAACAGGCGAAGAGTTTGCTTTGCAGGAACTGGGGTACTTGTATTCCACCCAAACTGACTCCACTGGCTACTATGCGTTTGACAAAGTGCGTCCTGGCAACTACAGAATTGCCGCTTACCCTACAGCCGGATTGGGGAGCGATAGTCTGGATGAATCAACAGTTACTGTAGAGGCGGGTGAGTTTGTTCACTTTTTTGCGGGCCGTCGGCTGGGATCTGGCTCCCCATCATCTAAAATTTCAATTTGTTTACAAAACCCTTTCAGGCGCCACGCAACATGTGGGCTTCACTTTGGCTGAACCTGATAACATTTTGTGGTCTTTGGGCGAAGCCAACCGGCTTTCCAGCGAGTTTAAGTACTCAGATCAACCGCGCAACTACCAATGGGAGTGGGTGCCGCCCGCTGAGAACACTTTTACAATCGGATCAAGCGACCCGAGGGAAGACTGGTAAATTCCTCACCAAAAAAACATTACAGCAACCAATTTAAGAGCTCTGGTTCTTCTTCAGGTACTACGCGCAATCTCAGACTGGATCGTGGTACATCAAGTACCAAGACACCGCTGACGGTTCCGCAAGAACCTTACGAGTGGCCATAGCAGCATCCAGTAAATCCCATCTTCAAGTCATCGTGAATGGCCACCGTGTAGGAGACACTTACTTCGACAATGATCAGTCCATCTACAGGAGTGCCATGCAGAGTGGCCGCTACACTTCCAATGTTTATACCGTCAGTTCTGCCCAAGTGGTGAGCGGAGAGAATACCATTGAGTTCCACATCAGTATTGGACAGGTCATGTACGATACCATCAGCATGCAACGCAGTTAGATTGTTTTTGCATTGTTAAATACAAATTTGTCCTGGAGTTGTTTGTTCTTTTGCTAAACCTTTCCATCCAATTCTCATTGCTGTTCTCCGGTTTGTTGTTCCTTCACTCAGTTCTTGGGTATTATATAAATAGAATGATGCTCAAGTGTTTGTTGAAAACGCATGGAAAACAAGCCTGATTGAAATCTGAGTTGGTTTTTGAGTGTTTATTGCATGTTAAGCGCTTCGCGTGGCGGTTGTTTCCATACAGATAACGTCGGAGGGTTTTGGATGGTTAAAGAAAACTGCGAAAAAATGCACTCTATTTGGGGCTTTTAATAAAAAAATTGCACCCTACTTCACATGATGTAGCTAAAAATCCTGCTAATATTGAGGATCAGGGACGAGATTTATTTTCTTCGGATTATTATCTGCTTATATTTACTGAAATAAACACCGAGTTAGTGATTGAAATAGTTGTATTTTTTTATTCACTCAAAAACTGCTTTGGAGACTAAGACGTGATCATAAAAATGTGAAATAAAAATGTTCATATCGTTTATTTCATATAACGTTTCGGCGAGACAACAGCGCCATCATCAGATTTAAAATTCAACACAAACCCTTAGGCTTAGGCTTAGGCCAAAAAGAATCTAATGTTTCCCAATTATGGGTTTGTGTTGAATTTTAAATCTGATGATGGCGCCGTTGTCTCGCCGAAACGTTATATGGAATAAACGATATGAACATTTTTATTTTACATTTTGACTGAAACCCAGGGAAGAGAAACTGTAATAACAATTACACGCAGTTAGGAAAATAAATGACAATTTCGAAGGAACTTTTACTGGCGGCGCTCGTCGTCTAGATTGTTGCTTTTTCAATATTATTTCAATCTATTGCCTTAAGAACCATTTTGTTTAAGTTTGTGTTTCCAATATTGTATTTGCCGATGGATCAATTTGTGAATGCTAGTTTGATTTACGGTCTTTTCAACTAGTAAAAAAGCAGCAAACTTTAGATTTTCGGCGTCTAGTTTTTGAATGATACTAATTGTCGCATTATCACCTTTGCCCGGCGCTTAAAAATTAACTTCTTCCGATCTTCTTCTTCACCGACCAAAAAAATGATGCCATTAAGTCGCTAAGCGCCAGATGATGGATATTTGAAAAAATAGTATTCCCGAGCAAAGAAAAAGCTCTAAACCAGATAAACGAAACTTTAGATTGCGCTACCACTGGGCTATATGAAGTGTCTAAACCGAGTTTCACTAGTCATTGTCGTATTATTTCATTGGACAGCACTGTTTCGAAAGCCTTAGCTCATAACTTAATAAATAAACACTCGAAATTGACGTCAATTTAGTAGATTTCATTATTATGAGTTCTCTATTTATAGGAAGTTTATCAGTTATTAATGAAGTGTGTTCGAAATTCATTCGGACAACAACTACTGAAGTGTTTCCTATTGTCTGATTACACTTACTTAACTGTAAATATACTTAATGTAATGACTGTGTTTATGACTGCTAATTTGCCCTTTTTGGTGCGTTGCTTCTTCCATTTGCGCCTGCTTCATCTGCTCAATTTTCACTGCAGTCTTTTCTTTTGCTGGCAAAGCTATTTGCGCTCATTCACTTCTTTAAAGCTCGACTCTTGGGCTTCAGGCTGCACCTAAAAGAAAACTGTGTTCGACAGTACTCAAAGAATATTCCTTTTATTCAAGTGTATGCAACAAAACCTCCTTTGTTTGCCTCTTGTACTTCAAGAATGCCCAGTAGCACTTAAGCAGCCCAGAAAAACACATCCTAGTGATTGACGCAACATCAAAAACATTCTCGCCTCAAAGATAAGGTGTTTTAAGTACATGTTTGCGGCGTTTCTAAAAAAAATTCACTCTGTGAAAACATCACTCCCACCTGAACCACGGATAAATTTAGGTGATATATAAGAGCGGAGCGTCCAAAGCACTCTGGTTTGGTACCATCTGAAGAGATGGCATTACGCGGTTCAGCTTTTTTGGTGTTTGCCACCTTAATTTCCGTTTCTTTGGCCAAAGTGACCCTGACTACTAATGGTCTGGCTGCCACTGTGTCCAATGGAAATGTCGAAGTCGTCTTTAAAGCTGATGCCACCGTGTCTGCCGTTAAAGTAAACGGCGTTAACATCGTCTCTACCTCGCAGAAGACGTTCTACTTGGATTGGAACGAAAATGGACAAGGTATGAACCATTTGGTAAAACTTCCACTAGCCAAAGTTTTCGAGCAATTTTACCAATGAAGATTGCAGCTCCTCGTGCCGGCCTCAGGAGGAAATTCTCCTCCGCAACGACACAGCAGCATAAGAAATGGCACAGTTTCGACTGTTTTGCTGTTTGTTTCTACTTTGTGTTATTTTTCGATTGCTTTCAAAAAACTTTTCTACTCAAACCCGAAAAGATTTCTTGCATGATAATTTTCCGTACACATTTTAAAACGCGCTCTTTTGCCGCAACGCGTTGAAAACTTCGCCTCGATGGACACCGAGCCTAAAATAAAAACGATTTGTTGGTCTGTTCGCAAAACGATTAGTGGATGACACCTCTATATACAGGGTGTCTGAAATRTCGCSTGCMGTAGGTACTTTAACTGGGTATTMTACAATCCCAAATATCTCAAAAACGGTTGGTCGAAGAAGCTTCCATCAGGATTACCKTTTGGCGCASCATTGAAAGAGAAATACGCTAAAGATGTCGAAACGTCGCTATACAGGGGGACAAAAAWGTTACAGCCACTTGATTGYCATCYAAGCTTGAAATGTGGGCAACAGCACAARCAGCAGAAAAGCGATAAAGTGTTTATTGGTAAATCTCCTTTAACAACAAAGAAATTGATAGTTGCAAACCTGCACAAGCAGCGGAAGCCAGAATAAAGTGTTTATTGCAAAATCTCCTCAAMAAAACAAGGAAGTGATAATAGGGTGTTTTGACTTTTTTTTAAAGTTGATRTATAGAAAGTAGTTATGGCAAACATTACACTGATATAAMTTTTTTTGCAAAAAAAGTCTCAATAAGTATTTGAAAGCGAATTTAAATTCAAATCAGATATTTTCCGCCAAAAACGCCGAATCCGTATCGTCGGTTGCATATCCCGATTGTGACGTAGCAGGTCATATCAACAAAGTGTCTCGCGTTTACTTTGTTGTTTTCACAGCTGTGTTTTATTATTTAAGCTATTGTGATTATCATTATTTTCTTGATTATTATTATTATCGTGCATAATGGAAAATAGTGACATTTATGGATCACAAAATAAGTGGTGTTTGGTGCCAGGATGCAAGARWACCTCAATAAGTGCYCCAAACAAACTCTTTMTAACCGTTCCTCATGATTATGCACGTAAAGTTTTATGGTTCAAAGCAGCTAGRCGTGATGTTCCTARATAAAAATCAATGTTTTTTTGTTGCGAGGATCATTTTAATGAAAGTACGAACAAAAAGCTAATKATGAGGCAGACAGAATRTGTCTTCGATCGTACTCTGTGTTCTGGGCAAATTCTACCTTGTAGAGTGCACAAAGAACCYTCGCGTTTTAGTTCCACATATCYRATATCACCAAATTGATCTYGTGAGGCCCAAAATATAAATTYAAGAGTCCATTTTACTTTTAAAGCAGCCATGTGAATAGGTCAGGTTAAGTTGAATAAGTGAAATTCTATATATTATTTACCTAATTTAAACCAATACAGACAGATTAGTATATTAAGGAGAGAGTAACTAATAATGAATTTACGGATTTTTACTTACGCTGCTGCTTTGACACCCTTAAATTCGGACAAATTAAAGCGTTCGTCGTTTTTTTAAAATTCGGTAACCATAAAATTATGTACACATGGTAAATTGTTTGTTGACGCTTTAAGGAATCCTTCTGAAGCCATTTTTTAGTTTAACACATACTATAAATTATTTAAAGCCACAAAATATTAATGAAACACAACCACACAACTAAACACTAGGCACAGAACGTAAACAATCCGCCATTTATATGACCAGAGACGTCACAACTAATAAGATTGCGTTTTAGAGATTCATGAATAATTTGAATTTTGGCTGAATTTGTTTATTAAATATGTAACAAAATAGCAACATATGGATAGTATAAACTTATTTGATCTTTCATATATATATTACCATAGATTAATGTTCAGTTTGTAGGAATTTTTGATACAGTGAAAACACTCTATTGCACCACATTGAATAAATAGAGACAACCAGTATCAAATTTGATGTCCTCTCAGACCACATTCCGGTTGTGTGTAGGTTTGAACTGATATTGAAACGAATCAAGAAGGCCCCTGCAAGAACCACATAGACATAAGGAAACTCTCCGACAGAAAAATTCGGAAACAAGTGCAGGAATCGCTGACTAACGATTTAAAGAAAATCAACAACAACCCGAGTAAAGCACAAGACAAATGGGATAAATTCAAAAACTCTATACAAGCAAATTGTGAAAAACATTTGCACAAAGATAAAAACAAAAAACAAGAGTGGATGACACAAGAGATCCTCGACATGATGGACTAAAGACGGAAACACAATGGTAAAATCAACACAAAGTACCGTGAAATTCACAAAAACATGAGGAAAAACATTAGAGAGGCAAAGGAAAAATAGTTCTTTGAAAAATGTGACAAGATAGAACAATATGAAGTGAAGAACGACTACCGCAATATGCATAAGGAAGTAAGGGAAATGACAATAAAGAACATAAACAACAGAAATACGTTCATACTGGACACTAACGATAATATTATGTCGGAACCATCAAAATGTCTAGAGGTATGGAAATTATATGTCGAACTCCTCTTTGCTTCGGAACGATCTAAAGAACACAATATGAATGAGATAGATAGAGATAGAGATGAATTATGAAATACGAAACTGAAAAAGCTATTCTATCTCTCAAGAACGACAAAGCTCCTGGACCTGATAGCATTCAAGTAGAAATACTAAAACTTAAGTGTGAAACTG